ATATTTTCAATCAAATATCATTCGATTTATAAATGAATTATATGAAATAAACTAATCAATGTATGATATTAGTTCTGCATATGCAAATGTTTATAACTTTTTCTTATTACGATATCCTTGTATCAACTTGTCTCAGTAATTTTATTCATATAATAAATATTTAATAGTGTCCGTACATGTATTGATATGTGTCAGAAAATGGATGTATATCAAATAAGGAAAGTTATCCTATATCTGTTACCATTTTAAAATTATGTGCTGTTAAATGTGATTAGTATTAACATGTGAATGCCGACGGATTTGCTCGCGTTTCAGTTAAATAGAAACAGAATATGTAGTGATCGGTTGATATATTTGTTCTTTGTACTCAGTGTATAGAAGCTAGTTGAATATTGTGACCAAAAAGACCAAAGTCTTGATATGAAATTAGGAATCCGGATAATAATCAGTATATTGAAATTATATTTGACAATTTTAGTTTACTTTTATGAATATAATTTCTTATTATCTATGTTGCTAATGGATGATGGATAAGTATGAAAAGCAATATATTATCCCAGAGGTTATTTGTGCGTCAGCCTCCAAATCAGATATATTTCTGTATTCGCTAATTTTAAAGCGCGTTGTGATGATAGAGCTTACGGTTCCTTGGGAAACCAACATCCTCAAAGACCATGCCATCAAGGTCAATAAATATTACGAGCTCACTAACGAACTCACTAATAGGATCGTATTAAATTTATACGCGGTAGACTAGGAGCTAGAGGTATTATAACAGCTAAATCTCTCTATAACCTACTAAAAGACTTGAGACTGTCCAGAGCATCAGTTAATTATTGGAAGTTACTTCAAAGGCAACCCACTAGGTCTAAGGAACCTACTAAGGTTCGATTCAAATTTGGTTAAGTAGAGAGAGTAGCTTGGACAGGGTTATTTAAAGCTACACCTGGGTCGCAAGTCCCAGGCAATACATTAGTGATAATAAATATTAGTTTAAAAAAAACTAAACAAACGCGCTTGTAACTAGTATTTATTTTATATTTTTTAGTACGATTTATCAATTAGTTTTTTCATGCGCAGATCGCACACTAGCTCTGTCCCTTTCACTCTCATAGACGATATATGAAAAGAATATATCAATCCTGGCGGCCCTAACAAGGATAATATGAAATTGTTAACAAATTATTGCATTGTCATTGGTCCTTGAGACATGCAAAGTTTCAAGTTAATCAGATGTTTAGAAACCGGTGAAAATCGTGCTCAAAGATTCCGTTACTTACATACAGCCCAAGCTAATATAAGCAATACATTAATATAATAAGCTTTCGAATGAAAAGGTTTATGAAAAGCGATTGTTTAACGATTAAAACTATCATTCTTTCGAACTGTAATAAATAAAGTTTAATTCAAATCCAATTTATCTAGGATTTATAAAAGTAACTTCAACTAACCTATCATTTAAGTAACACTTAATAATATATCATGTCCATTGTATCGATTTCCTTAAAACCCAAGTAATTTTATATCACCAATATGTTTCGTAGTAGTTCAAGGTAAGTAAAGATTTACCGCATTACTTACTAGCAACTCACTTTCGTTGGAGTAAAGCATTCTATACACGATCATTTGTAACCGGGTGACCGGGACAGTTGTATAATGGGACGTGCATTGAATTATACATACATATATGTGTATAATGTATAATTACCTAATATTGAATAAGGAATATTATAAGCTGATTTCATTGTATTACGAAATGGATATAATATTAATAACATTACTTTAAATGCTAAACAATTATTACTTGTCATCACTATATACTTCGTTTTTTTAATCAATAATTAATTTTTATTATGATTTTTTATTAATATCTCAATTTTTGTATACTTTAATTTTTGTACGTCATTTTCTTTAAAATATCTTTAATAAAAAATACCTTTTTTTAATACGTATCAGATGCCATAGAAATTGTTGAATCGTGACTCAATCCGTAGAACGATAAAAATGCGTTCGGCGCGTGTTAGAAAAAAATATATCACTGGGTAATAGTATTATAACGTCTCTATTAACATACGTAGGATTTATACCATTTTTTTCTTAGAAATTTTATTGTGATATATAATTTTTTACAGGTATCAATTAATAGAAATTACCTTATATATAATGTCTTGTAATATACTCTCAATAAGCTTTAAATTTATTGTAAGTTAATTTTAAATAAATTTTCTGGGTATATAAATTCTATGATAATTTAAATAGATTCTCGAAGTTTGCTTATTCACAGGTGGATGAAAATAATTCTCATTAATAATTTATATTTAATAAAAAAAACAATTGTATGTTTTAAAGTTCACTGGTTGAAGATAAGGTAGATCAGTCTGTTGAATAAATATTGTACAACCAGGAATTTACTTACAAGATCAGTGAATACTATAATAGTATTAGTACTATAATAGTATTCTCTTACATAAAATCAGTAAGTTTTGCGAAAATAATATTGTGTAGATATAAGAAAGATATTATTAATTGAGGGCAGTTGGCTATTATAGATTTTGAAACGAATGAATTTTGTTAAAGAAATGCGTAAAGACGATATTATGTATTACAGAATCTGTATATAAATATATAGATAAATATGTATATACAGGATGACTGGTGAATTACTATCGATACTTGAGGACGTGATATTTGACGATCATATATGACAAAATAAAAATTAATATAACATAAATATTAATAAACTTCTAAGTAAAGTTAACCAAAAGTTATGTAATTCATTACGCATCGTGTAAACACCCTACAGATTAGGTATACACCCACACACACACGCGTGCGGCGGCGTGGTGTTGTATCAGCACAACGCCGCACGCGTGCACACTTGGAACGTATCCACACTTTATTTATTTATACGGAAATTTGGTCAAAAATTAAGTACCTATTTTTTTTTACATAATTCGAATGAGAATCAGGTACCGAGTATTCTCCTTAAATATTGATAGTTCACCAGTCACCCTGTATAAGGCTAACAAACACGATACAATTGGTAACAAATTAAACCAAGGCACAATGTAATTCAAGTGTAAGAATTTGACTACCCAAAAAAACTGGTTGTACAATTATAATTCAAGTAGCCTTAGTCCAGGTATATTTAACACACTACTTACTTAACGTTAATAGTTTTTCATTCATAAAACTACTCACATTATGGTAAATACGTAGGTTATAGATAGGTAAAGGCTTCGTATGTATCCTGAAATCATATTCTCATCTGAAGTGAACTTAGTTTGATAGAAATGTTATCAATTGATATTCAATTTGACGAATTTCCTTTAACGAGACTTTAGTATGTAAAATATTTATCATTTAGCATTCATAGCGTGTTGAACACTGTAATTGTCAATCTAAGAGATATGTTACTATTAAAATACCTAACTGTTTATAGTTAATTAGTTTGTAAGTTATAAATGTATCATATAAAATTCTTTAACATTACATATATAATATATATTCTTTAACATTATACATAGTTAGTCGTGGCCTAATGGTTGAAAGGCCTGCCTCTCATGCACGAGGGCGCGGGTTCAATCCTGGCCCGGGCAAGGAGCAATGTGATTTTTCCGAGTCATATGTACATTCTAAGAGTATTTAGACAAGGCTGATTAAAGCATTCGCAAAGAGGGTTGATGTCAGGCAGGCGGTCGGTCGTAAAAACAATAAACCAAAACTATTCACAACATGTAAGGCAGACCCTGGCTATAGCTGGGAAATTGCCAGGTAGAAGAAGATTCTTTAACATTATATATATTGGTGCAATTAATTTTTATCTTTCCGTATAAAGTCAATAGTCTAAAAATATTTCATTTTAAGACTTTCAAAGAGCATGGACATATAAAAAATATTTCAGAATATTTCCAATGAATACTCGTAAATGTTCTTTGTTATATTCAATCAGTATATAATGTGAACGTAGCCTTATAACAACTATTTATCCAGCTTCGCTGATAAACGCCTACAATTTAAGTGCCATTTTGATGTCAATGTCACTTGCATATTTTAGAGTTCCGCAGACAAATATATTAAATGTAAAAAATGGTTCAATATAATACAATTATTTAATTTTAAAACAGAAATAACTGTTTTTTAAGTGTTATTTGTAAGGTAGGTGTATCGTGCAAAAACGATCGTTTAACCTCGAAGTTGACGTCGGGCGAACAAAAACGCTTATAAAAGTTCTTTAAAGTTCTAGATTATAGATGCCAGTAAAACTATGCATACAGATTATTATTATTCATAACACTTTATTGTATAAATACATAAATGAAGCTGAATTAAACTAGTGTTACTGTTTTAGGACCTTACCTGTTTAAAAGTTCATTTCAATAGTTTTGAGATGCAATTTAATTGCTCTGTGCTATACAGGAGCTGTAAAAAAGTGACTTAACCAAACTTAAGCTATAATGATGAAAAAATAAAATAAAAAAAAAACAAAGTAAAACAATAAGTCTTATGTAAAAGGGTCTCTTAAAGACGAGATCCATTTATACTTTATACACGATTATTATTATTGAAACAAAAGTTTACACACTTGTTAAATTAATCGCGTGCTGTAATTTTAATTCCAAGATCTATAAGAATATTAGTTCGATTTCCTAAACATATTTAGTGTATCCGACTAAGCAACTGGTAGGCTTTTAACATTCAGCCTTCATATACCCTAAAATCATCAAATAAAAGAAGTATTAAGTAAAGACAAAAAATGTATATTCACTGAACTCGTTTCATGTATTAAAAGACTACTGACTAGGATCTCTATGAAGCTCGAAACAGTTGCGCCATTTACTATTTTGCTCTGTTGTTAGGTTCAATTATATTAGTTTCATCAGTATCAGGAGTCTAAGTCGTAAGAAATATGTTTTTCAATCATGATGGGAGAAAAATCTTGAGATGTTTTTTGCCATCCATGTCGTTAGTGCTAAAACTTGCAAACTTGCATCAGAGACCTGATCTTTATTTGGTGATTGCCATTTCTTCTTGTCTGCAGCAAATGCTGCTTCTTCGGCCTTTCGTCGAGCAAGTTCTTTATCTTTGAGCTCTCTTTGCCTTATCTTCTCCTCGAGCTTTACAAGAATTTCTTGGGCTAAATCTACCGACTTTCGGATTTCGTCTCCAAGCCTCACCTGTAGTTAAATACATCAGAAGTTTTAATCTTTACATATAATTATGAAATTATTCATAAGTATTAGTTGCTTATTTTGTTTTTTTCGTGATTCGTATATCTATAAAATTGGAATGCATTAAACTGATTGGCATTGTTAGACTTAGAAAACTTACTCTTTATTTACCTTTTTTTATCAAAACTAAGTGTCTCCAAAACCTATAGTCGCTATCTTTTAGATATAATTGTATAGAAATACATGCGCAAAACATAATAAATGTAAAAAACAATTACGTTTGGTGGCAGCGAAGGATGCAAGAAAAATCCATTTTACTTACAAAATATATTCAATTACCAATTAAGACTTAAATTTAACTACTAGCTAGGGCGGGGTCTTTAAGTCAGCAATTGACTTAAGACCCATTCTATAATTAAGTCTTATAACTAACTACATACTAAAGAGGTGTCTGTAAGTCAGCGGTTGACTCCAGACTGACTATATGTAAAAATCCCATTCTTCATTCTCACCGATGGTGCAAGGCGTGTGGTGTCCACTTCACTCTCCCAGTCCCACCGATGGCTCAGAGTCAGCATTCCGTACTTTACACCATTGTTATACCGAAAACTTAATATCGGGTTATGCTTACGTAACAAAACTTAAAACAATTGAAATTAAAATATCATAATGTTTATAAATACCAATTCATCGATGACTGGTTCCTTATAGACGCTGGACCTTTCAGACCTTTCTACATTAGAAATCATTTCTTCTATACTTTCCTCTTTAGATTTCCCAACTACCCTCATAAGGTCGGGACCGGCACATTCAACTTTCTCTTTGTTGTTATTTACAATATCAGATATTGTTTCAACTTTTCTTTCTAATTTATTATGACTTTGAACAGCTAATGCGTCTGCATTTTTGTCATTATTTTTAAAAGTTTCAGCAGTATAATCAGTATTAGTAACAAGATGTGTGGCTGTAAATGAATCAACTGTAGCTGCGTCTATTGGGATATTAGTCAATGCTTCAAATTTCTTATCCTCAAGAGCACGTAAGGCTTCTTTACGTTTTTCTTCTGCCATACCATAACCTTCCTCAACTCTTGCATTTTGAGCTTCTATTATCTCTTCTCCTCTTACCCTTTCCACATCTTCTATCTCTTTTACTCATTCGTTGTATTTAACCTTCAAAGTTACACTAATGGTTCATAATATTAATGCAACTGGTTCACCTCGTGACATTTCTATTACCATATGCAACTAAGTTATGCTTATCATTTACTTGAATAAATATTTCCTGAGCCTATAATCAATATAAGCTATTGCATAATTTATATTTCGTTGAATTGCAACACATTTAATATGACAATAATAAAACCATTTATCCAATCTTTATTTACACTTTAAATTCTATAGTCTGAATAAAAAGAATTCATCAAATAAGCTGTCATGTGTTTCCACTAATCGTATTCTGGAGTAAAATATCTTAAAGAATTAACTATACGCTTGAACAACTATACTTGCTGCCTGTAAATCTCCAGCCGGAAAAGTAGGGTAGGCTATCCGTAATTTAGTCAGGTCTATTAATTAGTACCAAAGATGTTGATATAACAGAGAATTCGGCCGGAAGATTAGAGAACATATGCTTTTAAATATTACTTATCGTCTATTTGTTTTAAATTACTTATTAATATTCATTTGTATTCTCGATATACATATATATATGTATATCTCATTGGTCTTTGGAATCTTTAATTTTAAATAAAAACGGAGCATTGGAGCCACTTTCAATCAAGTGGACGATTAATTCTATTGCTTCTTATACATATTAAAAAAAATCCCAGTAACCAGTTGATTTGCCCATGCAATGTGTGGATTGTGAAATTTATAATAAATATAATTTTAAATAAATAAATAATATCAGATTTTTTAACATGCAATAATTATATATGTGTCTCGATAATATTGAGAACACATTTATTCCAGTGATATATATGTATCATTGGAATCATAATTCAGTGTTGGAATGGCTTAATGTAATGTATGAATAAGACAAAGTCTGATAGGTTTGTTGAAGGTTTGAAACTAGTAAATGAAAACAACAGCTATGTTAAGAAGTATTTTATTCGTCTGATATAAAAATCTCTATATGATGAATGACCTTCACCATGCGTGTTTAATGAAAACTGAGCCTGTGGGAGCATAAAATTGACCGGGGTAAGCTACTGCTGCGACGGGGAAGCCTTTGTACGCTGAATAAGCTATCGGGGATGGAATGATAGGTGGTGCTACCGCGACTTGAGAGGAATAGGCAGTCTTCAAAGCCTGCAGAGACATATCGAGCTTCTTCAACTCAGCCATGGCATTCTCCTTCATCATCTCCGCAGCCATTAAACTATCAGATTTCATCATATCAGCTGATTTAACATCAACGGCACCAACCTCAACACTCTCCTTGTCTTCAGTTTTCATTTCGGACATAGCTTCTTTCTTTACTTCACCTTCACTCTTGACCTCAGAAGCAGCTACGCTTTTGACGTCAGCTTTTTCTTCTCCAGCAGATACAGCGCTTGTAACAGCAGCGCTAGGAACTGCTGCAGCAATCATTGGGCTTCCACTAGCAGCATAGGGTAAAACTTGAGCGTCTTTGTAAGCAGCAATGCTACTAGCCACAGAGGCGTCTAATTTAGCAGCAGCTACTTGAGCTTCATTAAGTGCTTGCCATTTCTTCTCTTCAGCTGCCCAAAAGGCTTCTTCGGATTTCTCCTTGACAAGGTCGTTCGCTTCCAGAACTCCTTCATTCTGATTCTCCACGACCATTTCAGCTCGTGCTCTCGCCTGATCCACTATCTCTTGGGCCTGATCGTTGATTTTGACCTAAACAACAAAAAAATAATATTATTCAAAACGTAATTAATTGTGTTCTTTGCAAATATTGTTTATGTAGACATTCCCGCCAGAATTCAGTCCAATTTTTATCAACCTCAACCTTTTTGGTATATTCTTTTTATAAACGTTACCAATAATCATGCAAATCAAAGAAGTTAATAAAATAACAAATAGAAATTATAAAGTTATAAATTCATATATTATGTACTCCTGTATATAAAATAATAGATTCAAGACTACAATTATATATACTTTTTTGCTCTCTATTAATAATAATACTTTTGAAAGATTAATTGATGAAAAAAATATATACAATTCTTTCTTACCTGAGCATCAATAAGAGCTGCCTGTAGATCCCCGGAAGGCACTGTTGGTACGGCTACTGGCAGAGCAGCCACTGGCAGCGCAGCCAGTCCTATTGGCACCAAGTGTGATGGTGCAGCTGACACGCAGGCCAGGAGGGCAGACAAAACCTTTATTTATTAAATTTGGTTAAATCTTCACACATATCATTATTTTAAAAAGAGCCATAGTTGTTTAGAATTTATACAAAAAAATATATTTATATATTTTATCATAATTTTTATAAATATATATAAATCTTTATATGTTTCAAAACTTAAAGGAAATATGATGAAAATTTATAGAAAAGGTGTTTAATGAGAAAAAAATGTTATGACAACCTACATCCACACAAACAAAAACGCGGTTAAAAGCTTGTAAAGAATGAATATAATAATAACTTCCCGTAAACTACTAATAAATAAGCAAATCAACTTGTTCTGGTTTCAATGTAAATAGCTTTAAGGCTCAATACACACTGGACTATCAACGTATATAGATTTTTTTTCTTATCTATCAAATTAACTCTTGTTACAAAAGTAACGATTTAATTTGAGTAACATTAATTAGACGAGTTGATTTATAAATTAATTTTATCTTACAATACTGTGGCAAACTTTTAGAAACGTTTGTCTTCAAATATTTCTTTTTAATTAAACATAAAGATTTTTTGATAAGAAATTTATCCTTATTTTAAATACTAGTTTTAATAACTTGATATCAAAGTGTTCCTCGTACGTCATAGCAATTGTAAGATTAATAATAAATTGCGTTTTAAAATTTTGGTACGTGATACACCGATACTATAATAATGAAGTCGAAAAAGTCTTATAATTTAACACAATATATGCCCGTATAATTGGTATAGAAAAATAAATTAATTAATTAATTTAAAAATTGGTGATATTACAAAATTTAATTAGCAAAAAATATTTAAAGAATAATATATTTTTTTACACTAATAAGTCGTTCAATTCCAAAACGGTATCTTGTTGAAAGCACATTTTTTGCACTACTATTAAACCATACAAAATTTATAGAAAAAATCACATATAAAATAATTGGCACTATAGAAATAATAAAAAAAATTACGTTCCACGTTTAAAAAAGACGAAATGTTCCTCTTATCATAAAAAAAGAAAGAAAAAATCACTATATATAAAATAATTAGCACTTTAAAAAAAGACGTTCCACATTAAAAAATGAGACGAAATACTCAATTTGTACTATTAAAACAAAGTAATGACTGACCAGTACTCTCATTGTGGTGGATGTCTCGAAGGCTACTGATAGCTCACTCATCAGAGCACACCGTTTTTATATTTATATTACAAACAGGATTATAGGTTTATGAATAAAAATAAAATTATCTCAGACGCGGGAACAATTGAGGAAGTACGATTTGACAGGTGATACAAGATGGCCGCGCCGTAATGTCACCTGGTCTAGAATATTTTTGGACGTATTTAATTATTAATTTCTTTTATTAATAATTCATAAACATTTATTATTTTATGTTTTATTGAATCTATGTACTAATTCAAATCTATTATTAAGACATTATACCTAATTTTATTTATATGACAAATATATATATATATATATATATATATATATTATATTACAAATATCTACATAGTAGTGTATGCACTAGTATCTATGTGACTAAATTTTAATGATTTTTGGAAGTTCATAATAAATTTATTTTAAATATATATTTAAAAGATATGAAGCTATGAAAACAAATAATTAGTACTGAATTAAAATTTTTATATATATATATATATATATACAGGGTGACTGGTGAATTACTATCAATATTTAAGGAGCATACTCGGTACATGATTCTCATTCGAATTATGTAAAAAAAATAGGTACTTAATTTTTGACCAAATTTCCGTATAAATAAATAAAGTGTGTACACGTTCCAAGTGTTCCAAGTGTGGACGCGTGCGGCGACGTGCTGATACAACAACACGCCTCCGCGGGCGTATGTGTGAGTGTGTGTGTATACCTAATCTGTAGGGTGTTCATGCGATGCGTAATTAATTACATAACTTTTGGTTAACTTTACTTAGAAGTTTATTAATATTTATGTTATATTAATTTTTATTTCGTCATATATGATCGTCAAATATCACGTCCTCAAATATCGATAGTAATTCACCAGTCACCCTGTATATATATATATATATATAAATTATTCCAACGTAATATTTATTCAAAATTTCATGCAAAACAATCTTTATGTGTGCGTTATACACACACAGACACAATTATAAGTAGAACAAGTTTTCAGTCATCCGAGCTTGAACACAACAAAAAGCTAAAAAAAATGTCAAATATATATAGCAATGATTAATTTTATTACATTCTCGTAGGAAAAACAGTAAATTTCGTTAATCGTTCGACGTATATGGTGAATCTATTGACCTTTAAAGGTAATGCTCTCTTGATAGTAAATGTCAGCTTTTTCTTTGTACACCTTTTTTTCTGTGTATGTAAGTAACATTCCGTGCATATATTTTTTACACTATCCACTTGAATATGTAACAGATATTTTGCTTATTATTATATAATTAATGATTGATAACAAAAAAAAATACTTAGTTTTTCTTGTGTAAATCTAATGGAGAATTAGATCCAAAAATTATGTTTTTTTTTTAAATATATGTTTGTTTTTAATATGATGTAATAACAATATAATTATATGCAACAAAGTTTATACATATATTAATTCTCATCTAGTCTTTCTGATCACGGTTTTTGAATAGAGACCGAAACGTCGGGAGTATGTATGTAGTTTAAAATAATAAAATAATCGACTTTATTGATATAATATATTTCTTTAGTACAATATATTATAAAATAATAACCACTAAGGGCTAAGGTAAGTTTTATTATTCAATTATAAGTTTGAAATCACCAATCCGTCTTGAGCAAGCGTGGTGATTAATACTCAAACCTTCTCCATGTGAGAAGAGGCCTTTGCTCAGCTGTGGGCTCTGATAGGCTGATGACGAAGGGCTAAGGGATTGGGCTGACGATATAAAAGAATTAATAGGCAAAAGACTGGTTGATAATTTCCCGGAATAGGGACAAATGGAAGGAATTAGAGGAGGTTTTTACCCGAAAGGGATTCGTGTAAAGGAACAAATAGAAATATGTATATTATATAATGAATACATTTATAAACTAACCTAATTATAAGCAATGTACTAACACTTTGTAATAATAACAATACTTTACACTGAAATAAAAAGCTTTATTATTATTATTATTAATTAACGCTAAGGAGTCGAATTAGGGTTGCGTTAGTTTTTAACGCCGACCATAGATTTTTAGAATAATTTCCTTGATTTAAACTAATATTTAATTAAAAGTAATGGTAATATAATATAACTTCACTATAAAAATACTTAAACAATTGCGGCTGTATTATCTGATTTGACAACAATCTAAAGTTTACAAGCATGTTAGAATTAAAAATTATTATTATTTTAATAATAATAATTAAATGATGTCTTTATTCAATTCAACAAACTTCTTCGTGTTACCACACAGACTTCGTGTTACTCAAGATTATAATTCTTTCAAGAAATTGACATTGGCAGTTACACGATTCTAATGTGAATGAAGACATATTTAAAAAAAATATGTATAATCTTAGAATACTATTATCCTTAAAATTTACAAGTTTCCATGCAATTTTTTCAATTTTTTTAATTAAACGGACGAAGTCGCGGGCAAAATCTAGTATATATATTATCAACTATTCATATATAAATAGCTTTTACGTTCGCCAATAGTATAATGTATCATATCTTAGAGATTGTATACCTACTAAATGACACAGCGATCCTCTTCAGTGTCGAGAGATGAGCCTCTGATTAAGACGTGTACGTGAAATAGCTTGTAAGGTAAATAATATCATATGATTAAAGTCCCAGGTTCGATTCCAGATAACTTTTATTCATATATTTTAATAAAATAAATATTATCATCTGGTTTATATATTCTCTTTATTTTAGAAACTTTTGTAAACATATCCATAACTCTAGTTTTATTAATTTAAATGAAATTAATGTTTATTGAAAGAAACGTCGGGTATTGTAGTATTTTAAGAAAATAAACCGGATAGTATAGATCCGAAAAATATAACTTTAACTGAAATAAGTATGTATATAATTTAAGCAGTATATTTTAAGTGTTATATTATTAAAATTTAATTTTCTTTCATTCAATAGACTTCCGTGTAGAGGAATGTTAACAAAAAACAGTCGCCAGCACCGACCAGCAGCTGACATTAAATTGAATGTAATAACATGTAACTTCTATTATAATTAAACCTATAATTACTGTTTATAGACTAGTCTCAGATACCGACTTTGTTCGTTTTATTTATTGTTTATATATATACATATATGTTTGATAGGTTGTTTGGTGTGTTACTGGTTGAAAATTAATTTCCTATTCGTATTTTTTTATGCGTATTAGTTAAAATATTTTATAATACAAATAAATTTAAATTATGGGATATATTCATCATAATTCGTTTTAAACTTATTTCTTTTCGTCGTTTAATTAATTAAAAATGATTGTAGCAGTTTCATTAATAGACATTATTTTTTATGATAATAATAACTTTACAAGCACAGGGTGGTGATGGACAAACGAAATCAAAAGCCATTATTATATATGTATGTGGATTATTTGCATATAACTTCAACGGTAAGAAAACAAAAAATCAAATAAGATCTTTTCTTGATAACTCTTGGCACTTAATATTATTTATATTTTTGAAGCATGAAAAGGAGTATTCAGGTGGCATCGTAATGATTTTTATTACACTTATCTTGAAAAATAAAATGAAGGTTGATACTGTTTTTTTAAATGACATTCAAAATACATATGTTTTGATGTATTTTAAGAGGTCTCTTGATATTCTTTTGAGATATTTTGTTGATAAAATTTTTCACGTGGATCTAATTATTATTTATATTATGTAAAATAGGAAAACAATTAAACTGACAGTTATTAGTTTGCCAATTCGTACTTATATGTTATATTCTTGGTTATTAAAATAATTATGAAATTTTTAACCAAACTTCTAATTCTTGTTCTTTGTTTCATATAAGATACTTGTTTTATATGAAAAATTTTAACATACACCAGACAAATTTGGTCAAATGTACCATTTCATTTCCCTTATTATATATAAGGATATATTAAATGTGTTTAAAAAAGTATATAAATTCAACCACTGAGACATTTCTTTTCTTAAAAATCTTCAAACTATATGAAAATTTCAATGACGGAAGGTATGAAAATCTTGTTTGACCCGTTGTCGCTTTCGTACGAACTTGACCCCGCTGAGGTCAGTGACCGCTGTGACGTCACAACATTTCGTTATACGTGGTGTGTGTGTGTGCGCGTGTGTGTGTGAGTGTGTGTGTGTGTGTGTGTGTGAATACAAGTTTTTCGCACTTGATATTAACCCTGCACGTTGTTTCGTGAACTATTTATATTCAATACTAGAAGACCTGGCGAACTTCGTATCGCTCTATAATCAAGAAATATCTATTACGTTTTTTATTTATATTTTTGAAGTTTACCTGTAAGCCATAAATCTCCGTGTTTTGAAGTGCAAAAAAACTTTTGTATGGGAAATAGAAAAGGGCTGTTTTTATGGTTTTCCCAGTAATGAATCAATTTTTTTCAGCTTTTATGCCTTTCCTGAACCTCCACGAACATTTCAAGACTAAGATAAGATAAATCCGTTTAGCCGTTCTCGAGTTTTAGCGAGACTAAGGAACAGCAATCCATTTTTATATATATAGAAGATAAGTAATGCAATTAATTTCATCGGCCCTTTAACAATAATCGATACATTCAATGCCGTCCAATTATTATGAATTTCTTTTCTTCAGTATAATTCATTACTTTTCAATTATCGTACACAATACAGCTTCATAGCCTTTAAAGGACAGTCATTTTCATGACGCAAAGTTTAAGGTCATAGAATTCTTTCTCTGGTTGCATTCTTCATCTCGAATTCCCCTTTTCCATTCCTATAATACACTTATTTCGTTTCCTTACTCATTATAATCAACTTTATAATATTATATACAAATATACATATGCATATATATACATTTTCCCAAAGAGCGTTGATGTCCGGCAGGCGGCCGGTCGTAAAAACAATTAGCCAAAAACTATTTACAACATGTAAGGCAGACCCTGGCTGATGCTGGGAAATTGCCAGGTAGAAGAAGAAGAGACATACATATATATACAATATA